CCACCCCCATCACATTAGACAGAACACAAAGTCTGACTGAGACAACCGGAAACAGGAAACATCGTATACTACCAACCTTCCATAGAGATGTCGTAAATTATTCTCCAGGCTTTGTAATGAAATGGATCAAAAGCCTGCAGCTTCACCACACAGTCATAAGCTCGTCGTTTGAAAGCCTCATCCTCATCAAATCGCACCTTGGACTCCTGAAACACAAATAAAGCCATAGAATTATGCTCATAATACGTCAAACATATAGCAAACACACACAAAAAAACTGATTTTAAATGATGGAAATAGATCATGAAAGTAAGATCAGAATATTTTTATCCTATCATAGCCCATATTGACTCCTGTTGGGACCAACCCAAGCTGAATTCTATACAACATCCTGGAGACAGATGGAGAAACTAAAGTAATATTAACTTCCTCACTCAGGAATCGTACACGTATATCTTATGTGTGCAACTGTGAAAGTCCTACCTACCCACAAGTTTTTGAATACCTACACAGTTCAATTTTAAAGTCACTAATAGTAGATTCAGGTTTCAAGCTTGAGAATATCTTTCAAGGGTTTTATAAATACTTCAAAAAGTGGGAGCCTAGAATCTTTATCTCAGCAAGATAAGCAAACTCTTTTAAGCTAAAGGAAGAAGCTAAACATGAAAGCTCAGAACAGTATTTTAACAAAAGTATTCCCCACACTTTCACTCACTACACCTTCCAGTGACAAATCTTGGAGAGGGCATAGGTATCAACTCCTATGCTCTCATTTCTGTGCCAAGATGCAGGAGTTTTAGGGGGGTGGGGGGTGGGGGGGTGGGGAGTTTAAGTCATAATCACTAAGCTCAAAACCACACAAAGACAATTCCCAAATTTCTTTGAAATAGACCGCTTTCTACAAGACATTGTCGCTTCTCTTAAAACACTTTAGAATGATGGTATTATGTATCTTTCCACATCTTACCCTCTTCTTCTTGTGCCAAATCAGAAACAGACATTGGCGGTCTTATGTCATTTCTCAGCTGAGATACTTTTTTTTTTTTAAACACAACTATTTTTCCTTTATTTTCTTGGTCTTTACCCATCGTCCATCTGTTCCAGTCCTCTATGTAAGTTATATGTTTTTAGCAAGAGCAACATGATAAAGGCCTTCAAGTATCTTGCACACTGGATTTGTTTCCAATAACAGTCTAGCCAGATGCAGAAATATTTTCAAAATTTACAAATTTCGCCTGGCAGGCATTTTAAATACAAAGAAATACATGTGAATATATTTGAGAAAAAAATATGGCACCTGGAAATTTGTTCGCTCTGTGTGTGTGTGTGTGTGTGTGTGTGTGTGTGTAAGCGGCTCAGACTCTCCCCGATGATGGTCGACCTGCAGCACGAAGAGAATACGTTTGTCGCCTTTGTGTTATACCTACTGGCTAACTCACAAAATATCTTTTTTTTACACACATACTCGTACATGAAAAGGAACACGCGCACACACACACACACACACACACACACACACAACTGAAATATTTTTTTGTTAAAAACTATTCCATTTTTCCAGTAAGAGCAAGATGTTTGAGTGTGGCTTTCACCTTGTAAAACGCCTGCAAGTCTGTGATGGGCGGCCGCTCTTCCAGCAGGTTCGGGAACTTATCCACCAGGTGAGCGATGAGCATTCCAAACTGGGTACCCCAGTCTCCCAGATGGTTGATTCGCAACACGTCGTGTCCCACCCACTCCAGCAAGCGGCTCAGACTCTCCCCGATGATGGTCGACCTGCAGCACGAAGAGAATACGTTTGTCGCCTTTGTGTTATACCTACTGGCTAACTCACAAAATATCTTTTTTTTACACACATACTCGTACATGAAAAGGAACACGCGCACACACACACACACACACACACACACACACACACAATTCAGCCATATAACTGCCAAAGATTAAAAGTGTGCTTAAAGAGTTAAATTCAAAGAAAAGAAGGAGGAAAGATAAGAACAAAAGATGTTTTATAAAAAAAGAAGAAGCAAACCACATCAGAGGACCCCTTCAACCATTCACTGACTTTTAAGAGAAACAGAATTTTGATCAAAGTAAAGAATAATCCCCAATATCTTCACACTACACCATAGACATCAGTGCTTATAACCCTTTGTCATGGAACTGAGCAAGTGAATTCTTCAAGCAAGACTTAATGGTTAAGAATTTTATAGAAAAAATAAACGAAAAAATAATCCTTTCAAAAAGCACAATCCAGTGGTTAATGAAAATGGTTGACCTGAAAACAACAGTAAACCAAATAAAAATAAAAACCCTGATTTTTTTTCCAACTATTTGAGCAACTTCTCAAAACCAAAACCCCGGCTAAACCTAAGAAAATTCGGTGATCCCACAGACTTTGGCTAAAGCGGACTCGACTACACAGAAAGACTATTCCTCCCAACTTCCCTGACTAAAATTCTGTGTTGTCAAATGACCTCGGCATATCGCTACCTCAGAATTACAAAGTTTTATCTGACATTTTTAGCCGCTTTGAGTAATTAACAGCATGACGTCAGAAACCAAAAGTTCTATCTGTTCTATCAAAATCGTAAGATTATTCAATATCAAGATACAGTAGTCTCCACCTAAGATCCCAAGAACCCGGTGCTCAGACACAAGGAAATGTGGGATATTGGGCGAACCGGGATCTTAACCGACAAACCCAGGGAAGAATCTACGGTGACCCATGCTAAAGCTCATAATCTGTCAAATGGTCTCCCTCCACTCTAAAATGAACTGACGTACCCCCTGGGTGGGTTTACGACATATGGTGAGCAAAGAGTGGTTAACCTTGATGACCTATCGAAGTGCATAGTGGCATGAGGCGTGCCATTTTCACTTATTATTCTATTGTGAGTCTCAAGATCTACGCTCATCCAGCTGCCCTTCCCCTTCACCTGTTGAAAATGTATAGTTTTCCTTCATTCTCCTAACAAGTTCCCTCGCTTTTATCGTTACGCACCACTACAATGTGACCACACCAATTAAAATTCAGTCTGTCTTGCAAATTCGGGAGTAGAGCCAACTGCTGCAATGGAAAGGGAAGTGTTCACAATTTGATGCGATCCTGCCTGGAGCGAAGTGATGTAAGTTTAGGGAAGAGCTCAGATGCGAGAGCGATGTTTGGGGAAAACAAATGCGTAGGTCAGTCCACAACTCGGTGTAATCACGTCTGGGGAAAACATTGCACCGCTTCATCGAGTTTTACAACGCGTATGTAATCACATTAACGAGAATGGCTTATCTTTGACGGGACGGGCAGTTTATTGATTTCAACTTTTTACTCTAGGTTGATCAGCTGTGCCCGCTTGGGTTTTTGTTCCGCAAATTATGATCTGAAATGCGGGATCTTAGCCAAATGTAGACCTTCAGAGTGAATCAGAGCATGATCTTAGGGGTGACTTTTGTACAGTTAAAATTCTGTTTTCTTGAAACAGCGGGATCTTAAGTAAACCAGGATCATTAGTGGTGGGATCTTAGGCAGAGAATACTCTATATTCATAGAATTGCATTTTAAAAAATATAACAAATGGAAATCAAAATTTGTTACTTCAAATTTCTCAAAACTAGGTACTGAGCAGATAGAACTTTTCAATTCTAACGTAGCGATACAATAATACAAAACTGGAAAACAAAAACTGGCATTGTGCATGATGGATAAAGGCTCACCTGAGATGACCAACGTGCATCTCCTTGGCAATGTTAGGAGAAGAGAAGTCGATGACCACTCTCTTCTTCTGGACATTGGGTGGGGTCACACCATGGGTCAGCAAGAAGGTCACTTCACTGGACACAAAGTCCTTGTCCAACCAGATGTTGATAAAGCCCGGTCCAGCTATCTCAACCTGAACAAAAACATCAGACTTTGTCAAATACGTAGTTCTCCTGAAAAATCAGATTTTGTCAGATACACACATCTCCTGGAAAATCAGATCTTGTCAAATACATAGATATCCAACTTTTTCTTCTTCTTCAAGGGCCACATCTGAAACTTACAGACTCTTCTTAGTTTTAGTAGGAGTTTTATGGCACTTCCAGTTCAATTAGGTTTTATATATATATATATATATATATATACGTACCTGAGATTAGAGGTGTTACAAGAGGTGTAACAAACACAATTTTAAAAAAGGAGAGATAAGGTCCTCAGATTTTTTATAGGAAAGAAGAAGCAAACCACATCAGAGCATCCTCCAACCACCCACAAACAGACAGCAACAATCATGGTTCACCACACATTTTTTCTGTTCAAATGCTCTAAAAAAAACTCTACTATCCTGGTCTTTCCTCATAACCCACCTGTACAAGTTCTCTAAGCTAGTCATTCTTGATCTACCTCTGCCTCTTTTGCTTTCTATTTTTTCAGTAAAAGAAGGCCTTTATTTTAGTCAATGTGTCCTAGTTTCCTAAAAGCAACAACATAGTGAACAATAATTGGAGCAAAAAAGTAGTAGCTGAAAGGACAAAGGCCGTAAATTGTAAAGTGTTTAATGCTCTCAAAAGGAAAATGAAGTTCATCTGTTTCGCGCACTATTTCGATTCAATCTGTCAAAGCCAACCTAGTCTTTAATTTTAGTAAGAGTTTTACGGCACTTGCAACAGAATAAGGTCATATAAGTGTCAAAGATTAGAGGTGTTACAAGAGAGTAACAAACACAAAAAAGAAGGAGGAGAGATCAGGACAATAGATGTTTGATAGGAAAGAAGGAGCAAACCACACCAGAGGACCCGCCAACAACCCATCAACCTAGTCTGAATGAGTTACAAGATCCCAGAAAACAGATCATCATCATTACATGCCAGCCCTGCAACAGACATCAGCAATCATAGTTAACCATTCATTTCTTTGCTCAAATGCTCTTTTTAAAAAAACCCAATATTATCCTGGTTATTCCCTGTCACCCATCTGTTGGGGCTTTCCAAGTAAGTTGTTCTGGGTCTACCCCCGCCTTGTTTGTGGAAGCAATATCAAGGCCTTTATGTCTAATCAAGTGTATCAGAAACTGCATTTGTCTCTCCCAATGCTGGATTCTTTAAGTATTGCCTCATTTGATTTCTTCTTCAAAAAAAAATTATCAACAGTCTCCTTAAACACCACATTTCTGTTGCTTCTATTTCATTGTCACGGTCAGTATATTTGGTAAATGTCCAACATTCACAACCATAAAGAAGGGCTGACCCTACACTGCCTTTTGGAACTTTTATTTTGGTGGTGATGCTTCTATTTAGAAGACAGATGCTTTTTTAATTAATGGGTTTTGTTTATCTAACTTCCCTACTTGGGAATCAAACTAAAATATTACGCAAGAAACTGATGAGCCTGACCGCTTCACAAGAGACGTCAGTGATGAAAGAGTAACAACACAACAACAACCACAAAAAAAAGTGCCCTCAGGCACTGGATATAGCACAGGTGCAACTGCACGATCTACCTCCTTTTTTAATTTCTATCTCATGTCCTCCGTGTCAAAGAGAACACAGCATAATCTGAGATGCAATAATAGGACAAAGCTATCACACTAAAAAAAGCTTTCAGCACATACCTTCTCAAAAAAATGTACAAGTTTAATGCCCCTATCAATACTATTAGGTCAATCAAGAGACAAGACCTCCAAAATTAGCATCTGTCTCTTTTAAGACCAAGCCAGACGGGTTGGGTGGGAGCCTTGAAAAAAAACTCCACAAAGTTAACCCAGTTCAAGAATGTCCAGTCTGAGATTTGAACCAGGGCCATCTACTCCATAATGCAGCATGATACCAACCGAGCTAATGGCGAGCCCACACATACCATCTCATGTTTAAGCAAGCATCTTACAGCACTTGCAACACAATAAGTTCATATAAATGCCGAAGGTTAGAAGAGTTACAAGAGAGTAACAAACACACAAAAAAGAAGGGGAGATAAGGACGATAGTTGTTTGATAAGAAAGAAGGAGCAAACCGAACCAGGAGCACTAACAACCACTCACGTACCTTCTCAAAGAACTTTGTCTCTGGCAGATGATCAAGAATAAGTTGGGCTACCTCCCTCGGGTTGCTCTTTGTTCCAGTCACAGCACTTCGTTGCTACACAGAACAGACAGCAAACAGAAGCCGTGTATCATCACATCAGACTGGAATAAGTACATCTCTAAGATCCCAGACATCATAAAAGCCTACAGTAACAACATGCAAGGTGCACTTACTCTTGTATAATCTATTACTATTACGATATAAAAAAAAATAATTTTTTTTTAACCCAAGCTAAAAGTACTTATTTTCAAATTAGTTCCTCATTATGTGCAAACATTAAGATCAAACCCTTTCAGTATGTTTTGAGGCGAAAAGGGAAATAAACCTTTAAAATAATTCCCAATTTTTATGAAACATTCTGCATGAAACTGACAAAACAGAAAGGAGAAATATCAAGTACGATGATAAAGGAACAAAGACTTAAAAGATGATTTCTATATAAATAGTTAATTAATTTTTTTTTAACGGAAGGGGAAGGGGGCAGGAAATTAAAATGAATTGTTCACCTGAGAAATGGACATAGCACTGTTGCACTGATAGTCAGCAAACTTTGCACTAGGCACCACAAGCACCACAGGATTTGGAAGCTCAGGAAATGCAGCGTAGATGGCGGAGGCAAACACATCCTCGATGATACCTCGAATGTCCAAGGCACAATTGCGAACTCTCTTCTCCTCCTCTGACAGGTACTGGAGACATTTTTCAATGGTATGCATTACATTAGACAAAAAAGAAAGAAAGAAAAGTATCTTCTAACCTCCCACCACCCTCCCAACATCTGAGGTCACCTTGGGGGAGGGGGGGGGGGAAGGCACAGTTGGGATGCAAATTTGTCTCACAGGAACAGGAAACAGAGGGCTGTTATTGTAATGATGCACATTAACATAAGGAACAACTAAACTATTTAACTTTGACCGAAAAAGCTCTTAAGACAAAGACACAAGTTTTTTAAATATAGATTTACTTTTACCTTTTTCAGGGCAGTATTCTCACAAAAGTATTGATATAAACATAGAATATTTAGGAGTCAGAATAAATAATGGTGGGACCAATAGAACAGGCAGACCACCATACTCTGCAAAGCTTAACCGGCCAAACGTGCACATAACCAGAAAGCTTTTCAGTGTAAATTTGAGATATATATACACTACTCGTTGCAACTACTGAGAGAAGTGAGGAGAGTGATTTCTTCATATATGCGTATATCTATTCTCTCCTAGTCCAGTTTGCACTGGAGCTCAAATTTTATCAACCAAATACAACAAAAGCAAAGCTAATAGAGAACATTTCCATTGCCTCCTCCCACTCACACATTACCCCAACTATCCCAGATATCCCCCTTTTTTTTTTATCCCATTCTCTCTCCTCTTTTTTTTTTTTCTTGCTCTCTTTTTCTCAAGGCAATATCTTTCAAAATCTGTGATTGAATTTCATAAGTAAAGGATTTTATTATAACCGAGTCTTATATATCTTATTGTAAGTGCATGCATGCAAAAATACCCATACAAGAAAGACACAAAAATAGCTGTTATTTAGAGAACTTTTGAGAGTGAAATCAATTATAGTTGTGAGCGTCGGATAGCTTTTACCAAATTAAAACTAAAAATCAGAGAATATTAAATTTTATTTGATTCCTCTACCTTGTTCAGGAGATTCCGCTGGTACTGCAGCTTCTGATTCTCAGAGCGCAGTTTCTCAAGCTCTGGAGAAGCCATGCCCTCTTCTATCAGCTGCTTTGGGTTGGACAAAGCTGAGAGCTCTGATTGCAAACGTTCTATATCTTTTTCCTGCACATGTGAAACAAAATTCATGAAACTTCATCAAATTTTTTTTTAATCATCAGCACACAAACAGGAAAAAAAATTCATGAAACCAAATCAACATTTTATGACCAGAGCATACGAAATAAAATTCATAAAACATTTTTTCTTAATCTACTTTTCAAATTCCGTTAATTTTAGAGAGAAGTTTTATGAGAAGCTCCCTATCAAATCCCAGGATTCTATTTTGCCTCTGAGTAATGTTCATTTGAAGGGCAAAATTTTATATCATGTACGTTACCTGAACAAATTACACAAATTACCAGAAACTACCTTGTCTTTTATACAATCTCAAGAACCATGAAAACAATATAACGTTGATGAAATCGGAAAAAGGTAAATAAACTGTGAAAAAAAGAAATTGTTTGCATCAAACTGTCCTTGAATTTCACATGATCATTGTTATAAATTTCATCTATCACAAGTAACAGTGCCCTCTCCTACATGTTCTACAGGCATGAGACACCAATCATGGAAGTCCCCGATAATAATTTCAAGTACTCGTGTTCACCATAGGGAATGAAGGGATAGAATTTTTTTAAAGATTTGATTATACATTTCTACATCCACGAGAAATAGACTTTTATACCAAACACAGCAGATTATCATACAGAAACAAGTCTTTATCTGGTACTGTTCACCTGTCGTCTTTGATATTATTACTGTATAAAAAATCTCCATGACTGCCTTTCTGAGCTGTACTGAAGAAGTTTAAGCGGGAGAATGACATTGTAAGTAATTCCCTGATGGTTCTGCCTTCATTTTCAACAAATGTTGTGAATATTACCCATGGTCAAATAAACCTCAATCATGCTGTTGTTCATATTTCTTTGTCAGTAAACTGAAAACATGGCTGCACCGAATACTTAACACTCAACTCAACAAAAGCTAGGATTTTACTTTCTGATACAATCATAACATATGAACACGAAGCCTAAGAATACTTATATGATTAACTAGACACCCCCATATAAGAGAGGCATGTTGTAAACTGAGAGCCACTTCAACAAGCTGATAGCTGATTCAAACAAATTCCCAGAAGATAAAGCAGACGGCTGGCTTGATGACATGCCTCAACTGGATGGCACAGATTTGTTACTGTAATTCACAGGGGAATCGAGGGTCAAAATAGGTCGATGTAATAAATTGTAAAATTTTTCTGAAATCTTTTTCACTTTTGAGTATTGAGTATTTGAGTTTTTTAAGCTATGATATATACAGACATGACCAAGTATTTTATAAACCAATAGCACATTAACCCCTTTGTGACCTATATAATGTGTAGGCCTCTATGCTGTTCGTCTTTTTTTTCTTATTACGGCAAAGGAGCCAAGATGCTGCTGTCGTCACGTTTGTCATGCCTTGCGAAGGGGGGG